AGGAATAAAAATGGATAATAAGCACATGAAAAGATGCTCAACATTACTGCAAAATCATACCCACTAGGGTAGCCAATACCAAAAAACAGAAAATGAGTGTTAACAAGGATGTACATGGAGAATTTGGAAGCCGAGTGTACTGTTGGAGGGAATGTAAAATGGTACAGCTATTATTACATAATCTAACAATTCCACTTCTGGGCATATGCCCTAAAGAAATGAAGGCAGGATCTCAAAGAGATACTTGCACACCCATGTTCATAACAGCATTATTCTTGACAGTTAAACCATGGGAGCAGCCACAGTGTTTACCAACAGATGAATGGATAAGCAAAATGTGGTATATACATGCAATGGGATATTATTAAAAAGGAAGGAAATTCTGACAGAAGCTACACCATAGATAAACCTTGAGGACATTATCTTAAGTGATATAAGCCAGTCATAAAAAGACAAATACTGTATGTGGTATTTAGTGAAAACTATAGACAAAAAAATAGAATGGCGGTGGCCAGGTGTTGAAGAAAGGAAAAATGGGGAGTAATCAGCTCAGTTTTACAAGTCAAAGAGTTCTAGAGGTGGATAATGGTGATGATTGCACATTATAAATGTATTTAATACCAATGAGCTGTATACTTAAAAATGGCTCAATGGTAATTTTTATGTTGAAGCCAAAGGCTATTACACATGGCGCCCCCTGGAGGGTGGTGCAGGTGAGGATGAACAGCCCCAGGCTAAATAACAAGCTTATCAACAAAATGTCAATGGGGGTAGACTCAGATAGGAAATAGAAGGGGCTGCAGAAGTAGGCCCCGAGGTTCAGCGTCTTCAGGGATTATTCAGCGTTTTTGGGAATTCAGCATTTTTCAGCATTTTCCAAGATCCTGCGATTGCAAGGTCAGCTATTCCTGCCCCTACCACACCAATCTAGATGCTAGTCTAGCAGCCAACCTCAGAGGAGAAAAGTTCAGTGGCTTTGCAGGTAACTGAGCAACTGAAACTGTTCCCAATTGTGCGGCTGTTACAACCTGGAAGGGAAGGTGAAGACCCAGAGCTGGGTGCCTCACTGAGCTGCTGTGTTAGTGTGGGCCGTTTGTCGGGTCGGGTCATTTGGCTGCTGCAATTGTTGTTTCCAAGGTCACTTGTCTGGTACTGTGCTGGCACATCTTGGCAGCTCCTGTGAGCATCTCCTGTTATGTCTTCTACTGTCTTTGTGAGTTGGGTCCCGACCTATTGTCTGGCTGCTACATGCTCCAGGCCCTCAGTGGCAGAAAGATGCCATCTTAGACACCTTTTGTTTAGAACTTCAAAACACTGGACACTGCTTTGGGTGAGGTAAACAGCCATTTGTGGTCTCAGTGACTCTCTGTTTTCCTTTGTTAAATAAATCCCATTATTGTTATTCTCTGCACCTGAATCATCTTGCAATTGTACACGCACGTGAAGAACTCAGACAGTGACAGGTAAACTATTTTGGGCACTGCCCTGAGACAGTTTTTTTTTTTTTTTTTAAGATTTTTTTATTTATTTATACAAGAGCTAGGGTGCAGGCCAGAGGTGTGGGAGGGTGAGAGGATTCACCTGAGACAGAATGGGGTGCAGAACAGGCAGACGGACCAAATGCATTGGTGAGGGGAGCAGCGGGAGCAACAGGAGAGGTCTGCCACGCCTTGTGGGTTTCTTCCTAGCCAGCCGGGAATCAAACCCGCACTGCAGAGGCTGCGGACAGCTTCATAGCGCTGCACTCAACCCGCTGCACCACCAGGGAGGTGCCCTGGGCCAGTTTTAGTGCCACTTATTGCCCAGTATCAATTTGACATTTTCACATGCATTGCCTAGAACTATGGTACTTAGCTCTTTCATGTTTGTCTTATTCTCCTAAAGGTGCTGCAAGTGATTCAGGTTGTATTTTTTGTTTCCAGAGTACACGCACTACAAGATAAATGGGTTTAAAAAAAGTGAAAAACTTTTTGGTTGAGGAATAAAAAAAGTTCCACTAAAAAACATGGACTTTGAGGGCCTCCCTTGGTGGCGCAGGTGGTTGAGCACCGTGCTGTGAAGCTGTCCGCAGCCTCTGCAGCACAGGTTTTATCCCAGCAGGCCAGCCGGCGAGCGTCCCACATGGTGTGGCAGACCTCTCCTATCTCTCCCACTGCTCCCCTCAGCAGTGTATTTCGTCAGTCTGCCTGTTCTGTTCCCTGCTCTGTCTCTGGTGAGTCCTATCACCCTCCCGTGAATCTGGCCTGTACCCCAGTTCTTGTATAAATAAATAAATAAATCTTAAAAAAAAAAGCATGGACTTTGAGTTGGGTCATAAAAAGTATAGGATTTTAAATTAAAATACTCCAAGTAGAAAGGACAGCATTAGTTTAGGGACAGAGGAGGGAGAAAGAAAGGACTATCTGGGGAGGAGGAAGTAGTTTGGTTTGATTTAAACAATGGACATTGTAGCTGAAGAACAGAAGGTAAGGTTTTGGGTTAGACTGAAAGAGAACTTGTGGCCAGGATTACAGGAGTCTTTTATGTCAAATTAAGGAGTTGTAATTCAGGAGGTGAGTGGAAATCGTGGAAGTTTTTAGGGAAATCATGGAAGTTTTTAGGGAAGCAAGTGTAATTATCACCACTGAGTTTGAAGAAAATTAAACTGACAGGAAAGTACACAAAATGGAAACAGGAAGACTGGAAGGCAGCATGGTGTAATGTTTAAGAAGACGTTGACGACAGATGGAGCAGAGTTTGTATTCCAGCTCTGCCACTTACTGTATAACTAGAGCAAGTTATTTCACCTCTTTGGATCTCAGTTTCCCCACCTGTAAAACAAGGACAATTAAAACCACCTTCAAGGCTGCTGTGAGATTAAATGAGATGATGCCCAGAGCCTGGTCGAGCTATTTAGTATGTCTGTTAAGATACAAGTAGGAAAGAGAATGGAAGGTTCATCAATTGTGTCTCATAACACACGGTATGAACATTTGTCTCGGCCCCCTAGTAGTAGCAGCATCAAACCCCACATGGTTCTGCACCTGAGTAATGGGAAAGCAGTGGCAATACTGATGAAACTCTAGGAGTTATTTAGGGCTAGAGGAAAGGATTTCATTTGTTTTTTGACAGGTTTAGCTTAAAAGGCTAGAAAGTTATACAGTGGTTATTCCAAGTGCATTATCACTAGTTGGTCAACAGAAAGGGGGGACTGGTGCAGAGACAAACTGGAACAGGTTGTCAAAGCTAAACCAATATATTTAAGAGTCATTTACAAGGAGGAAGTTAAAGCTGTAGAAATAGATGAAACTAATAAAGAATATAGAAAGAGTCTGAAGACAAAGCCTCAGTATGCCCATTTTATGGATATGAGAAAAAAGAAAGGACACTTTGAAAGAGTCAAAGATTATGCGGTCAGGGGAACAGAATAGGGATCCAAGACAGTGGAGACTCCTTGTCCACTCTAAATGATTAGTGGGAAAACACTCTTTCCAACACTGAGATAGTGGGAACCATTCTCTAGCATTTTCTCCTACTCTGAGGCATGACCATTAAAATGGCCTAACCGCTTTAGTCATATCAGATTACCAACAGTGCTTACAGGCAACACTCCTCAGGGATCTAGCACAAACACAATTTTCAGAGGAAAGTAGAGCTCTCTAATGTTTAAAAGTAGTAAAGGAAATTTTATATTAAAAAAAAAGAAAAACAGGCAACAGCTGTAGCTTTCAAGGACTTTAGAAATGGGCCCAGAGTTTAGCAGAGCAGTTTGATTTCTGCAGAGATTGTATACTTCAAAACATTTTAATTCATGGAATGAAATTGTGTGTGGAAATGATGTAATATGACATAAATAAAATTTAAGTTGGCTTATACAAATAAAGGCAGTCAAATTATTCTTCAATGTATCTGTCTTTGTCTGGAAATAAATATATAAATGTTTGTACCTAAACAAATAAACAAACTGAAGGCTATATTTCAAAATACTAATTTGATTCTCCTTAAAGGAGAGGCTTATAAGTGATTAAAATGTTGTGCCTCATGCTTTTCATTATTTTCCAAGATTACATACTACAGTAGAATGTCACTAAATTTGAAATATAAAAAATGCATTAAAAATTAAACAAAGCAATCCATGTTCTCATGACTTACATGCACCGAGACTTCCAAAGAAAGAAAATAAAATCATACCTCACTGTGGCTTGTTGTACCATAAAATACTTTGAAAATGACTTGTCAATAATTGTCTACATGCATAAAAGTCAGGAAAATTTTATAAACTGAAAACCCTTAATGTCTAACCTTACAGTCAATTTAAAGTTATTATTGGGATGCTAGGGATTGATTTTAAGTCTGTATGTAATTCAATAGATCTTTCAAAAAGAGAGGCTTTGAGACAGAAGAAAGTTTGCTCAAGTTAAAGTCATCTGGCTTATGTGATGTGAGAGTGCAGGGTGTTCCTCAGGGCACAATGCATGGAATCTCTCTGGTGGAAAGCTTTCTCTCAGTCTGTGACACAACCATTAATGTGTCCTGCCCATTTTATTGTCAACAATACTTATAGGAGACACTCTCCAGGAATACTGCACAAACACAAAAGCTTCTACAACTACAATGATTCCAGTGGAGAAACCCAGAAGGCCCAGGGTAGGAGCTGCATTGATGTAGCTGAGTCATGAATTGCTGGCTAAAGAATCAATTACCTTAGCAATGCTCAGAGGCCCATGGGGATGGGCAATGTAATTTTCAGAATGTACTAATGATATAAAGTGACAGAAATGAAATTTGTGCTTTGATGGATTCTGGCTTAGGCCTGCTCAATAAGCATGGCCCTTCTTGCAGTAAGAGAAAAGAGGAAAATATAGTCAGTGAATTCTATGCTTGCTTTTTCTTCACATCTATGAATTTCTTCACATCTATGTATTTCTCAATTATTTTGTCTTCATTGTGCTCAAGATTGGCCATGAAAGCTGAGACAAATAATGCTTTAAACATTTTGTGTTCACAAAGAGAAAACTTACCAGTTTCAATCCTGTTCTCAACATCTGCGTTGACTTTTGATGAAGAACTCTCATCTGTCACACAGTTTTTCACTGTCTTTTCCCTAGAGCTGCTACATAGAATAATTTACTTAAACTCAAAAGAAGACATCTAAGATCACTAATAAATGCTATTTTGAAAACATGATCAGATTTTTTTCAGATGCTCTAGAACATATTATTTTCACAAATATTTCAGTTAAAGCCATTTTTAAGTCACTATTTTTTACTGAGAATAATGAGAAGATAGTATAATTCCGCCTTTAAGGTACAAAAGCCAGAAAATACAGAATTTAGATACTATTTTCTTTTTTTTTTTTAAAGATTTATTTATTTATACAAGCACTGGGTACAGTCAGAAGCGCGGGAGGGTGAGAGAATTCACCAGAGCCAGAGCGGGGAACAGAGCAGGCAGAAGGACTGAAGTACACTGCTGAGGGAGTAGCAAGCGGCAGGAGAGGTCTGCACACCATGCGGGACCCTCCTCGGGTGGCCGGGAAGCAGCCGGGGATTGAACCAGTGCCGCAGAGGCTGCTGGCAGCTTCACAACCCAGCGCTCAACTGCTTTGCCATCAGAGAGGCCCTAGATACTATTTTCTTGACAAACACTTAGGTCTGAATGATTGAGGAATAAGATACTCCTTTGTATTAAAAACTCATAGGCCACCAAAGGGAAAATTCTGCTACCAAATATTATAGCAGAGACAACTGTAATCACTAGCTAGAAAAACAGACAAAAAACCCCACAAGTATTAGCACTTAATTGATATAGGTATCTTAGGAAGTACAGTAAGTACAGACAGCCTAGATCACTTTATACCCACTGGATATTTAATTATCTGTTATCGCCATTATATGGGTTGGGGAAAATACGACTCAGAAATGGGCTTAAAAAATAAAATCAAACTTCACCAAAGGTTGGAGAGCTCGTGAAATGTCAGTATAAAATTGGCACTTTAACCATTTACCTCTGGTTCTGCAATCACTATATAATAACAGATAAATGATGGAGCTAATTAATTTCTGTACTAGAAATATTCAGTTATATATTAATTCTTCTCTGTAGTTCTATAGAACCTAGGGTACCAAAAAGCTTTTAAAACAGGAGTTAGGGGCCTCCCTGGTGGCGCAGCGGTTGAGCGCTGGGTTACGAAGCTGCCCGCAGCCTCTGCTGCGCCTGTTCGATCCCCGGCTGCTCCCCGGCCACCGGAGAAGGGTCCCACATGGCGTAGACCTCTCCTGCTGCCTGCTGCTCCCCTCAGCAGTGTACCTCTGTCCTTCTGCCTGCTCTGCTCCCCGCTCTGGCTCTGGTGAATTCTCTCACCCTCCCGCGCTTCTGACTGTACCCAGTGCTTGCATAAATAAATACATAAAAATAAATCTTAAAAAAAAAAATAAAACAGGAGTTAGTTTTCAAAAATATGACAAATAATTTTAAAAAAAACATTCATTTCTTTCTACAGCAGGGTGAGTCTATACTATATAAATTAACCTTGATGAACCTGACTTTTAAAACAAGAGTCAAGGTCCTTATTTTCATGGAGATTATGTTTTATAGTGGAAGGGAAAGACAATAAACAAAAATCTCATTTTGGGGAAGAAAAATGGCATGAGGATACATTAAAAATTAGTATGTATAGGAAACAAATTACTATAAAGTATCATGTTTTTATTTTTAAATTATTGTATATGTATTATTTTACATATAAACATACACACCCTAAGACTAAAAGGATATTTACCATAATATTAGTGTTTATTTCTGGGTGGCAGAATTAGGAGTTATTTATTCTATTCCTTATGTTTTTTTTTCCCCATACTTTCCAAATTCTCAACAATACTTTTATCATCAGAAAAAAATATACTAGTAGACTTAAATGTGTCTAAAGGATCACACAGATATCTGGGAGGATCTACACCAAACTTCACTGCAGTTAACTCTTAGTATAAAGATACAGGTGATTTGAATTTTTCATTGTATTTTTCTGTATTCTTTAAATTGTAATGGACTTCTATTTTTCAAAAATAATACAACTACTTAAAAAAAAAGTATGGGTCTTGGGGGAGTAGGATGGTATTTTAGTAATAAGAAGATAGGATTTTAGTAATAAGAAGTGGAAAATCTACCATTCAGATACTTTAGAGCTCTAAGATGTTTACTTTTGGTTTTTGAGAGAAATGCATTCCTCCTCATTTTTACCAAATGTATCTCTAATTACCCTGCCACGATAATGCAATTCTCCTAACTTAATAAGAACATGTACTGATTTATAACTCTATCAAGAAAGGTTGTTGAGCACTTCTGGGGATGATAAATTATCTCAGTATCCCTATGAATAAATGTTGAATAGCAAATTTGGAGAATTTGCAAGTATATCTAGAGCAGACCCAACAGTTCAAAAAAGCAGAAATGTTCCCACTGAGGGCCAGATTCCCATCCCAGATAAATCTCATGTTGAATAAATACTTTCACCTAAGGATTCTTATATAACTTATGGACATTTCTGCTGGAAAATGAAGCAAGTTAAGCAAGAATTTACTACCCGCTATGTTCACTAATCATACAATAATTTCTGTTTGCAAAGAATCTTCTTACCTTTTTTCCACCTCTAAAAGAAAATTTTCACTGTTGCCCAACATACTAAAATGCATTTTGGCAGCTTTTCTCTCACTTTCACGTACAGTTCGATCATCTGGAGGCAAAAACCGTTGTTTGAGCATGTTTCTTTTTTGGAGTAAACAACAGAGAGTCAGAAAACTATATATACAGAGTGAAATCTAAAGACCATTCTCAGCTTCTCTTGTGAAACAGATCACAAAATAATGCTATTATGTTGTCACTGGAGCAAGCAGTAACTCACCGAGATCACAGGGATACCATAGCAACAACTGCCACACAGGTAGGGGTAACTACCCCTGCGGGATAGTAGAGCTTGGGTAACAAACAATGCAAACTTAACACTGAAATTTAAGACTAATGGTTATGCTGTTCTCTGAAAGACTTTACTTAGTTTCTCCACATTAACTTTCCCAAGGGCAATGCAATGCTGACTAGCTAAGAAATGTATACTCAACAATACAATTATAAAGAAGTACAGTGCAGTCATTTGAAGGACTTTGAAGTCCAGTCGTTTGAAGTCATTTTTTTGTTCCTTGCAATCAAGCCCCCAGAGTTGTTCTATTAGTTTTCTATTGCTAATACAGTTGCAAAGTTGGGGCACCTGGAAAAACAAATCTCAACCTGGAAACTTTCTGTTGGGGAGGAAGTGGTGGTGAAACCATCAACTGAAGAAAACTAAAGCTGGAAGTAACTGATAAAATCATAGATAGTCACTCAATAAACAATAAAAGGAGTCGTCATACATCCTGCCAACACAAAAGAGTTACATAAATATTGACTAATAAACAAAACTATCCTGCCAGTGCACACTCTGGGCCAACATCCAAAGGTTAGGAGGCAGCTGGTTTAAAGCAAGATTCTGGGACAAGGAACAAAGGAGGAGGGTCTCACCCAGTTTCTCCAGGGTTTGTAGCGTGTACACAGCAAAGAGCCTATAGTCCGTATCTTTCCTGACAACAGGATTGAGTCTCAAATCTAGTTCTTTCAGGAAGGGTAAAGGCTGTAGGCGGGATACCTCCACTAATGAAGGAATGTTGTTATAATATAAATTCAGGTCTTGAAGTGAACATAAATACTGGATTCCCTGCAAGGAAAAGACCACATTATGAAGCTGTATATCGGTAAGGACTAGGAATCTCACCAATTAAGGTGAAAATATATCTATTACTTTTCATCATTCAACATGTATGTCACCAGTCATCCATGAGAAAGGCAGCACTGAAACACCCATTTTAATTGCCTGAGAATACTGGCAATTAAACACTGTGGCCCATGGGCAATGGATGTTTTATTTATTACATAATTCGCAAATTTTCATACATTTCCTCCTTTACCAAAAATGACATCCAAAGTCTCTACTTCTGTTGTTCCCTAAGCACTCTCCCAAACCAATGCTTCCTAGTGGTACCCACTTTTGCACTTCTCGTACCCTTGCTACAACCATTCTCCTGACCCCAATTTACAATGGGATGGGAGGTAGGCAAGAGAGATGGTTCTAGGAAAGAAGGCCAAGGTAGGGGGAAAAAAAAGTGTAGGTGTGTGTCTATATACATGAGGCCTCACTTTTGGGTCAACAAACTCCATGGGAAAATAGAACAATGCTATCTCAATGTCTCCCCTACTGGACCAAAGTCTAGAACTCCCTTGGTCCTTGTTTCCCTTTCCAGAGTTACTATCACCATACACTCTCCCTGCCCACCCCTCAGTTCTCCTGGGTTTAAATATCTTCCCTTCTTTAGTTCTCCTTCTAGATTTAGCAAACTCTACTCTCCCACTTAGCTGACAACAGTACAATCAGGAGTAGGAAACTCAAGAGGAAAAGCTGCATTTTTTGTCCTTTGCTGAAACCTAGTATTGGAAATAATAATTTAATTTTCAAGTATTTTGGCTAGCTAGCTGCTAGCCAAAATATTCAAAATATGAACATGTACAATCATATACTTTTAGTAGTAAAAAAAGTAAATTCTTACCATAAAAGAAACTGTCATTAAGAATTATTTCAGAAAAGTAAAATTATTTTCCATCATGTATAGTGCTACTGTTCTTCTTTAAAATTACTATTTTCTCATTGTAGTAAATTTAGGAAAATCAAAGATATAGACAAAATATTTTAAAACAGAACCTTGTTTACATTTTGATGCCTTCTGGCTTTTTAGAATTTCATTAACTTCTACACTGTGAAAGGGTGAGTGGTGAGGAAGAATTATCAGTGCCTCTGGCTCTACTCTCAGGGCAATTCATTATTAGGATGGTCTTTAAATGTATCTAATGTCCCAGCTCAAGTAACAATTTCATGTCTCCCACTGTAAAAGTCAAGGAAGTGATTTTTATTCTCCTCTCCCTCTTCCCAGTTGGCATGAATTCATATATTCCCCAAAGCAACACTAGAAATAATCAGAAAACATTTTCCCCCTGGGAAAGATTAAGCAAAATGATTCTGTTAGAGATGAATATATGCAGATAAATCATAGCTGCAAAATAAAATGTAGAAAACTAACATTTACTAAGTGCCTCCTATATGGCATGCAATGTGCCAAGAGTCTTATATATGTTATATTTGATTACACATGCTAATTTGATTAATCTTCACAGCAGTTTTTTTTACCCAATTTACACACGGGCAAAAAAAGGAAGTACAAAACCAGCAATGTTCACTCAGTTGGTTAGCCAAAAAAAAGAACAAGCAAAAACACACATGAAAAGAGGCTATCTAAGCAACTCTGTATTAACAATTTCTGAAATTAATGGGCCAAACACAAACAGCTGCTACCAAACAGTCTAATAGTGACCTTGCCAACTTAGAGATTCTGCCTTTAGAGTCCTTGTTGGAAATTTGGTCTTGCTTGTGCTTCCTCTTGTACAGTTCTTTTAGTTTTAGACGTTGAGACTGGGTCTGGCTTATGTTGTTGAATCAGAATTCCCTAAGAAGTGCAAAATTGGAGGAATAACCCAGGAGGTTTGGCAACCAACCTGCATGGCATCTGTGAATCTTGTTTGCTGAGACTCACACATCCTACCTAAGTCTGCTGTCATCCAGTTTCCTGCCTTGCCCTCTGCTCTATCATCTCCTATCCTGGAAATACTTCTTTGTTTTCAAGACTACCACTTCCTCTCCCTCCTAGAAAAAGCCAATAGTAACAACGCAAGGCAGTGTTCTTCCGTGTGTGTTCCATGCACCTACATCAGAACCCCTTGGATAGATCCTGAGCTCACTTGAAACCTGCTAATTTAGAATCTCTCTCAGAGCAGAGTCTAACAATCTGTATTTTTACAAGTGCTCTTCATAATTTTTTACACACATTAAAAATTATCCTATTGCCCTCGGCGGTTATAGTTTAATATAGTTTCCTCTAAGTATAAAAGGATTTCTGCCCAATATTTTAAAATAAAAAAATTTAAACATAAAGCAACATTAAAGAATTATACAGTGAATAGTAAAATTCACTTGGAAACATTCAAAAGAAAGATCCTATGTTCTCCATGGTGACATTATCTATTTCTTCCCATAAAAAAAATAATAACAATGAACTGGCAAGTCACAGAATATAGAACTTACCTTCAGGCTAGTGATCAAATTTCTTGATAAATCTAAGGATCGGAGGTTTTTAAAATTTATGAAGGCATCACCAATGGAATGAATTTTTCCAGCATAAGACCCCTGCAATGAAAGAGACTCCACCAGTTCTGAAAAGAGATCATCAGTAGATACATTATGATCTCCGCTTGGCTAAACAGCAGAGTCAGTGAAATAGGTCTTCTTTCCTCCCATATCCCATCTGTGAAAGCCCTACATCTGAAGCTCATGAGATCAGATCTTCCTTTTCAAAACAGCAACATGGTCTAAGACAGTGATACCAGAACTTACAGAATTCTTTGCTTCTCTAATTACACTAAAGGATGTAGAAAAAGTCTTTAAATGTTCTCAAAGGATAATAATCCTCCAAGAGTTATCAAAACAAACAAACAAACAAAATTTAGCAATCCCACTATGACTCAGCCCTGTAGATACAGTCATGTGTCACTTAATGATGGGATGCATGCTGAAAGGTGTTAACTGATTGCTTCGTCATGTGAATATCACAGTATAATTACACAAACCTAGATGGCAGACCCTCCTACACACCTAGGCTATATCATTATCTTATCAGGACCACTGTCATGTATGTGATTTATCACTGACTTAAACCTCGGTAAGTAACACAAAACTGTAATATAAAATTTTGCCAGGATAATATAACACATACACAGGGTGTCATCGGCAGTAAGATTTTAAGATAGTAAAAAAGAAAGAACTTTCAAAAAAAACGTCGAGGAGCCCATCAGTAGAAGTATGGAACTAGATGGCTTACTGTACATTGATATAGCAGACAATGTACTAGACCTGCGGCCTTGTACAAATCACTTTACCTCTCTGGGTATCAGTTTCCTCGTTTATAAAATGGAGACAATAACACTAACTCATAAGATGTTGTCAGCATTAAATATATATACAAAACTTATAATGTCTCATCTGTAGTAAATGCCACCCATGTATTAACTATTGTTATGCATATATTGAAAAGAATGAGGTAGATCCATGGATGGCCACATAGAGAGATGGCTAAGACAAAAAAGAAGGGAAAAGTATGACTTTGTGTGAATGTGTGACTGCATCAAGAAAAAAATGAGTGGGAGGGGAAAAAAAGATAAAAGAAAATGAGTGGGTGTGTACAGAGAAAGTAATATGAGTTTATAGATGTGTATATATGTAAATATGTATATATGTCTATACTGATAGATATAGCGCTCTCTCTCTCTCTCTCGCTCTCTCTCAATAGAGATAGTCAATTTGACTTCTAACAGGATCGAAAAGAGGGACATCTCAAAATAATTGTCAATAGGAACTCACTGGCAAGTTGGTGGACAAACTGAGAATAGCAACCAAAACTTGAAAGACTCTGCAGGATCCAATTTGCTGGTGACTGCCAGGGAACAGGACTGAGAGAAGATTTTATTGTGCTGAAGCAGTCAGGGCCCCAGAAACTCTACAATGTAGTAACATTTAGGATCCCTTTCAAGACAACACCCATATTAGGGATAAACTGGTGGGAGTAGAATTCACAATGACTGTAACAGAGACAACAGGTTTAAAGGAAAGGAAAGGTCCAGATACAAGAGGAGAAAGGAAGCAGAGACCGTCCATCGCAGGAAGCATAAACCCTAAGTTTTAGCACTTTGTGAACATAACAGAAGAGGGAGCTCCAAAACCTTGAAACTGGAAAAGCTATTCAGGTTCACCCTTTCACCGAGAAGTAGAGGAAAATTTAATTCACTTTAGCAAGGAGACACAGACAAGTATTAAAGTCAAATTTTACGTGAAAAAAAAAAAGAGCAGAACACCCCTAAAGAACCAAAACACTCCAGAAATATACACCCACAAAACAAATAAAATTATACCATAAAATTTCAAAACAAGCATAGAGATAACGTAATAAAAAGTAGTAATTCGCAAAGCTGGGTTCCGGGACCCCCAGGTTTTTGAGACATGTATAAGGGCCCAAAAAATCAAAACAAATTTTTAAAATTATTTTCATAATAATATTAAAACTTTGGGGCCTCCCCAGTGGCGCAGCGGTTGAGTGCTGGGTTGCGAAGCTGCCCGCGGCCTCTGCGGCGCCAGTTCGATCCCCAGCTGCTCCCCGGCCACCGGAGGAGGGTCCCACATGGCGTGCAGACCTCTCCTGCCGCCCGCTGCTCCCCTCAGCAGTGTACTTCGGTCCTTCTGCCTGCTCTGCTCCCCGCTCTGGCTCTGGTGAATTCTCTTACCCTGCCGCGCTTCTGACTGTACCCAGTGCATGTATAAACAAACAAAACAAACAAACAAACAAATAAATAAAAACATGCCTCTATAAAAAAAATTAAAAAAAATTAAAATTAAATTAATAATATTAAAACTTTGTATAGATTTTCCACTGTGTTGTCATTTGCACTTATGGTACAAAGAAAAAACTCCTGGGACCTCCAGGTGAATCAAGACAATGGTACCAAATTCTACTGGTATTGTAGTCGTCATAATGTACACTTCCAGTTTTTTAAAAGACAGTTTCAATTTGCATGAATAAATAAATCTTTAAAAATATATATATCTAGGGCCTCCCCGGTGGCGCAGCGGTTGAGCACTGGGTTGGGAAGCTGCCCGCAGCCTCTGAGGCGCTGGTTCGATCCCCGGCTGCTCCCCGGCCACCCCGAGGAGGGTCCTGCATGGCGCGCAGACCTCTCCTGCCGCCCACTGCTCCCCTCAGCAGTGTACTTTGGTCCTTCTGTCTGCTCTGCTCCCAGCTCTGGTGAATTCTCTCACCCTCCCGCCCTTCTGACTGTACCCAGTGCTTGTATAAAAAAATAAATAAATCTTTAAAAAAAAAAAAAAAGAATTCAGCCTGTCTCTTGTTTAAAATATATATATCTAAAAAAATGCCCTAGAAAAAGCAGTTACAATGTAACAAAGGTTAATTTTATTAACCCTTCATTTTACTGACCCTGAGGTACATGTCATTTTTTATATGGTGTGACTAAATGGGAAGTATGACTGAAGCTTTTCTGCTGCAAACTTAGGTATTGTGTGATTTTTTGAGACGTGAGCTGAACTAGCCACTTTTCTATGGAATACCATTTTTGCCTGAAAAAAAACTTGACATCCTATGGTTATTTGGACTTGAAAATATGCTAGACATTTTCTTAAAAAGTAAACAGTCAGTCTGTCACTTCAAGAAAATGGCTGATAGTGCTTGTCAATTTTAATACTTGAGCTTCCAAGCAAAAACTAGAATTTTGAAAATCAAATCATGATTGTGTTACAGATCCACTTAAATGCAATATACAGCAATGGATTTTTGACCCAGTTGTTATGTCATATCTAAGAACAATATCCACAATTCTTTGAAAAAGTTATTAAAATATATCCTTTCCAAATACATGTCTGTGTGAGACCAGATTTTTTAAAAATATATTTCAACCAAAATGACATTAACAGATTAAATATAGAAGTGTCAATAGATATGATCATCTGGCTGTCTTCAGTTAAGACATTTAAGAGATTTCTAAGAATAGAAAACAATACCATTCTTCTCACTATTGTTTTATAACAGAAAATATATTTTTGAAAAATAGTATTTATGTAACATGCAATAGGTGTGTTAGTTATCTTTTAATGAACAAATATTTCAAAATTTACCATTTCAATTTCTAATATGGCAAATACTAGTAGATATAGTTCATTTAACAAGAGCTCTTTGATAACCTCAATAATTTTTAAGAGTGTAAAGGAATCTGGAAATCACAAAGGTTGTGAATTGCTGATGAAAAAGAAGATTTGAAAATAGAAAAGACAGAACTCTTTAAATAATAAAAAATAGTATTATAAGGTAATTTCAGAAATGAAGACCAGAGCAAAATTAAACAAACACACAAAAACCCAACAAAACAATTCCGCTTTTAGGTAAATATATGCAACGAATTTAAAGGAAGGACTCTAACAGATATTTATTTGTACATCATGTTCACTGTAGTATTATTCACAACAGCCAAAATGTAGAAACAACTCAAATGTCTATCCACCAAAGGATGCATGAATGAACAGCATGTGGTATATATACCCATAAAATACTACTCAGCCATAAAACGGAGCACCAGCATGTTATTTTGTAGAAATCAACAAACTGATTCTAAAGTTTATGTGGGAAGGAAAAAATCCTAGAATAGCCAACACAACCTTAAAGAAGAAAAACAACAAAGAGAACTGATACTACTTAACTTTGAACATGAATTATAGTAATCAGGTCAGGGTGGTGTTGAAAAAAAGATACAGATCAAAAATAGACTACAAAAATAGACCTACCAAGATATAGTCCAAATATAGATCAAAAATAGAGTATAAAAATAGACCTACCCAGATACAGTCCAAATATAGATCTTTGACAAAGGAACAAAGGCAATTCAATAGAAAAGGTTACTCTTTTGACAAATGGTGTTAGAACAACTGGACAAAAAAGAAAGAAAGAAAGAAAGAAAGAAAAAGAACAATAATCTAGACACAGACCATACAATTTTTCACAAAAAATTCAAAATGGTTCTTAGCATAAAACACAAAACTCTGAAGCTTCTAAAAGATAATTAAGGAGAAAATTTAGTGATCTTGGGTTTGGCAGTAAGTTTTTAATGTAACACCAAAAGCATGAACTATAAAAGAAAAACTTGAAAAGTGGGATGTTATTAAAATCTAAGCCTCTGCTCTGTAAAAGATGCTGTAAAGAGAAGGGAAAGTCAAGATGCAGAGTAAGAGAAGATATATGCAAACAAAACACATATCTGAAAAGGGACTGATAGCCAAAATACATAAAGAATTTTTAAAACCAACAATAAGACAACAAAAAAGCTAATGAAAAAATAGACAACAGAAACCTAACCAAAAAGATACATAAATGGCAAAGATATGAAAAGATGCTCAACATCATTAAGTCATTAGGAAATTGCAAACTGAAACAATGAACTGCTACTACACACTTATTAGGACAGCCCAAATCCAAAACACTGACGCCACTAAATGTTGGGAGGGATGTGGGGTATCTTAGTCTGTTAGACTGCTGTAACAATGTACTACAGAATGGGTGGTCTATAATCAAAAATATTTATTTCTAACAGTTCTGGAA